GTTGCGGTCGCCAAACCAGTTTTCCCTCTGGGGGATCATATACGGCTCCGATACTATTGTGATATTGATTAACCACTGCGCCATGCTCTGGAGTAACAGATCCTGAGCTTTGGCGCAGTGGTTGATGTTCGCCTGTAGGATTTGGAGGGCCATCTATGAACCAGGTGTTATCTCCATTTGCTCTGTGTCCCCGATCGGTGGGGCACCAGTGGCCGTTTTGTTCGCGGTCCACGTCCTTCTGGGCATCTTTTTGCTGGGGGCCGAACACGCGTTACCCCCCAGTAGATGGTTTGCTCTTTGGCCAGCCGCAGCACACAGAACGCATTGCGGCTTTTCAGAGCAACTCCCTGCTCGGTGGTCAGATTGACCACACCGAAAACAAAGGTGACTGTGGTCCATATCCGCAGTACACCGTGCTGCTACATGACCGCCCTGGAAGCAGCGGAAACATCTCAGTTCTCGGGCCCTCAAGAGAACAACTCGGGCGGAAGCCCATCCCACTAATAACCTTCCTTCGGTCAGCTTTTTGGCCGCCGTCACTGGGCACCTGACCCATGCCGCAAAAAGGCCAGTCCTGTTCTGACGGACGCTACCGACCTTCACATTGTCCGGCGAGCAGCTGACCTTAGAGCAAATGGCTTGTTTGACCTCTTCCGGGGTGACTGTTTCATCCAGCCCCGAGATCATCAACTCAGTTGATTTAACAGGTCTGGAAACCCGGACTCTTCCGTCACCATAGACCTCCTTTAATCTAGACGCCAGAATATCCGCCTTCTCCTCACCACCTGTCCCGGGGACCTGAATGATGGTGGCCCCCGTGACAGCTCGTCTGAACCGGACCGCTTCTATACCAAGCTCAGCCAGATTTAGTTTTGTCTTCGCCTCTTTTAGGACTGCTACGTATGTAAGGCCTTTCTCTTCGGCATCCGGCGGAAGCGTTAAAACAACTGCTGCGGAACTGGGCGTACGGAGCTTCAGTTGTGCAGCTGTTGCCATTGCCTGTCTCTTAGGTTGTGCTGGAAGTTGTTGAGCACCTTCATTCTTCTTCCGGCGCAATCCTTTCTTTACCACCTTATTCCACGCTTCATTAGTAGAGGGAGCTCTGGCAGTGGGCACGGTGGTGACAGAGGGGCAGCATTAGGGACAGTTGTCCCTGTAGGCACATTCTCTTGCCTTCTCTTAGGTTTCTTCTTCTTTTTCTTCTTTTTCACGCCGTCCTCGGGTTGAGTTGCCACTGTATTCGAAGTGGGCGCTGCTGTCGTCTTTCTAACCTTGGAGGACCCCGACGTTGTTGCCACAGCCTCCGGCTTATACTTGTCAGCGGAGAGAGGTGGTCGTATGCGAGGCTCCGGGTTGTGTCTTGGTTCTATGCTTTCTATTCTAGCATTGATCCTATCCACAAGGCGGCTCATGAGCCTTGCCTCAAGGTCCTCTAAGTCCGGTGTTGGTACCGGATCTGTAGGGCGTTGCTTTATTAGCTCTCGCAACTCTCCCATCTCTTTTGGAGCGCCTCCAGAAAGTTTCGAAGCCGCTCGTTTTCACTTCGAAGAGCTCGCGTCTCATCCGAAACAGACATTTGAGCGAGTACCTCTGTGTCCTCTTTAATAGATTTAGCGACAGATTTGAGGGCGTGGACAAATGTACCCTTAAGATTTTTTGACTTAGTCGCGACTTTCTCTACCATTTGCAGATTAGCTTCGATGCGCCTCTGCGCTAGATCTGCCGTCAAAATTTCCCCTTCTGCATTCATTGCCGCTGGTGTTGGTGCGGGTTTACTCGGCTCAGTCAATGAAGCGAGGATCTCCTCCTCAGCCTGGGCTTCCTTTTCCGTTTTCTTGGCCTTTAAATAAGCAGACCTAGCAGGCGCCAAGCCCATGTACCCTCTGGTTTTTGGTGGGCGGCCTCTTCCTCTTCTTGTTGTAGCAACTTTTAGTGGGGTCCGAACAGACGACTCGCTGATTGTACTGTCGCCATCGTCTTCGCCACTCCTGGTTCGTTTGCGAGAACTCCAGAATCTAGGATATGTAGGGTCTGTACAATCCAGTGATCTGGCGCTGATCATAGATGCCGCGGAGGAATCCGATAACCTTCCAGCATCAGACGTAGGCGCGTCAACTGGATGGTCGCCAAAAATGTCCCTGGAAACGCTCGGCACCGGCGTAATACATAGAGTGCGCTCAGGCACCACGGTCACTTCTTGTAATTCTCTCAGATCCGGGTTTATTGGTTGGTCCGTGGATATCATTCTACTATCGCATGTGTTATTTCTAATGATTTTCTCCTCGCTCGCCTCGGCAAAAGCGCCGGAATCATGAAGATTGTCCCCCCCCAGAGTACGGTGGGACTTTTGCACCGGCTCTTGCGAGCAGGTGGCGGGATTTGACCCGCCTGGGGTAGTTTTACAAGTATTTGTCTTCATTTTCGCTTTAATTTTTATCCAGGTAAGACAGCTCACCCTGGGACGCCCTCGGGACCGAACTCCCCCGGCCACTCACCCCATCGCCGGGCGCCAGAAACTTGAGGTTAGGGGCTCGCCGTCAATTCGACGAGCCTCGCCAGCCTTAAAGGCCAGCCATACCACGCGCATGAAGCGCCGCTGGGGCTAGATAGAATGGCCCCCCTCTATATCCGATTCGCTTCACCAAGGTGCTGGCTTGCACCCCAGTTACTAAGCCCTCCCCGGCCACGTCAAGGCTCGGACCCCGCAGGATGGACATCTGCGGTGGGGAGGGCGTTTGACGCGCCCTAACCTAACCTCGACTAGATCTCAGCCTGTCCATAAACATACGCAGGTCATTACACGATAATTGATCAAACAAAGCTACATGTACATAATATTATGTATTGTTGAGAATAAATTTTATTAAACTGAAAAAGCTTAAAAAATAACAAAAAATATTTAATAACTAAAATATATTATTAAAAGGAGTCCCTTTAGGTAAAGTTCCGAAGATACTGGCAGCGTTCCCCCTTTGAATAGCTAGACTTATTCTTTGTCCGAGGTAGCTGCCAGCTCTTCGGTCTCCTGCGATAATCCTCCTTGTTATGTATTGTTTATATATTATACTAGCCGTTTCGCGCCCGCTTTGCTGGACGAATTAAAATAAATTTTATGTTTCATTATTTTATTTTTTTTCATATTTTTATTATTCTTCTTTTTAACTTCCCGCTAAGAAAATTGAAATATTTCGAAAATCTAGTTTTTAACAGATGTTGACGTTTAGAGGATCTAGGAAGCCTCCCCGAATGTTTCCGCGGTGAAGTCCGTATGGATAAATTTTCATAAAAGTAAAACAGCAATAAAAAAATGAAGGAACGTTGGAATTTAATAAATAAATAGCCAATAAAAAATTTCGCATCGAATGGTGGTAGTTTCATGTCGATACGATCAGTGGTTTAGGCGTGAAGGAGCCTCAAACGAAGACCATTTTTCTTTTATATATATATAGATTATAAGTAATGGATATTAACATATAATAATAAATGCATAGTTCTTTTGCACTAAAATGTTTCGTGTACACCGGAGTTTTCCCGACGCAGCCGATTCGTCTTTCAAAATCTTCATAAAATAAAAAACGCCGTTCCAAACTCCGCCAAATTTTATCTATTCCGAGTATAATATCTATTTAAAAACATGAGAGTTTAATGATGTAAATAACAGTTATCAATTTAGTTCAGTGCCAATGACCGCCGTTTGCCGCATTAGTATCGAGACTATTTGTATAACACGCATAAAGATGATATTCCCTAAATATCCTGATTACATACACAAACACTTTAAAAAAAGTGCGTCGTACAAAGTACACATGTCAGAAGTGAAAATTCTTTGGCAAACTAATTTTTAACTCTTGTTCATATTTATACCAATCTAAAACTTTAGATTTCCGAGAGAGGGAAAAAGGAAGATATGTTTGGAATTTAATGAATTGAATTGTGATTATAATATTAATAGAAATAATAAATTTAATTTGTTTTTTCGTAAAAACACGTGGCATTTTAATTTACAATTCGTCATTTGAGATTTCAATAAATTATTTTGCATAAAATATGAAATACTAATATTTTACGAAATTTTAATTTTAAAAATTGAATTTCGAAAATAAGGTAATTCGCCCTTCTCACTCTCTCTCAATCGGTCTCAATCGCTATCTCCTTTTTCTTCGACAAAAACGCTGCACATCTTCGTGACGTTCCGTAAAAAATTTACCCTCATGCGCCTAAAGAAGTTTCACTTCAACAAATAAAAAAAATTAACAGGTAGTGGTCGTACGACGCCGCCTATCCACAGTTAACACTTGCAAGACAAAAGATAACATCGTTAACCCACCAACCAAAGAACCAACAACACGTGATTAGTTATCTATGACAGACACAAATATATGGTGAAGGCACTAAAGACAATATTCAGTTCACAAATAAACTCTAGAATATGTACTACATAACTTATTTTATGCCTGCAATTTCACACTTAGCTATCTCACAACCACCACTATATTAATTTCGCTTGTAAAAATTGTCAGACACACTTTATATAATATATTATAAGGTCCAGGGACTAACTTTATGTTTCTAATAAAACCTATCGGGAAGGGACATTTATTCCTCTGTATAAATTTAATATAGTACATAAAAATTAAATTAGCCAGACGCTCTCTTCTGTAATAACGCATTGCGCAGACATTGTGAATAGGCAAATAGTTTTATTTATATAGAATAGCGATGCAATACAAAAGAAAAGGAAACACAAGTTTTCATTGTCAAAATAATAACCCGAAACTATTTGTGCCTATTTTGTGTGCTTAGTGATTACCGAGTATGTATATGTAGTAATATAATAAATGCGAATTTATTACATAATAATAAATAATTAAATAATAATTGATTGCATAATTCCGTGCTTTTCAGCAATCGTGGGTAACAACAGACAGTCAGTTATGAATCATGTGGCAATTAATCGATGATTTCTGAAAAGCAATTATTTGGACTTAAATGTATTCCAGGTATATTCTTCACTGATGGTTTCTTCTGGCATACACAGAGAAGATTCTCACTCCGTTACATGCGTGATTGGGGCTTCGGACGCCGATGTAATGCTCTCGAAGAGACAATTACTCATGACACCAAGGAGATGATAGACATGGTACAGAATGGAACTACGACTGATGAAGAAAAGGTAACAGTGCTCATAAAAAACCTTAAAGCTTTAATTTTTAATAATTAATAGCCTTTTAGGGGCTTCCGGTATTATAAATGTTAATTTATATTCAAAATTGGGGTTTACTACCTTCGATATTCGCACATCACTCTCTTAATAATAATGATATGTTTATGAGTATGTTACAATTAAGATGAAAATTCTCTCAGTTTGCATCAATAAAAGCACGGATTTTTATTAATATTGTGATTGGTTGATATAAGGGGGCGGGGTTTTAATTAAACTTTTATTGTTACTAATACTGCTCCGAGCTTTCTATTTACAAATCACATCACAAGTCAAATCTTTGTTTTTAATTTATTTTATTATTATTTATTACCTACGATGTCATATGGAACATGGTGTAATGGTTGCAACTCCTTAGAAACGTTGTGTAAAACAAAAAACTTTTGCGATTAATAAGAGTGGTGGAGAGTTTATTGCCAGTTCTTCTCTTCCGTTCTACGCCCTTGATTTGAGAACTGGCAGTAAATGTAAAATTAAAAGTATTTAATGTTTATTTCTTTTTTAACATTCATAAATGTACACTGTACATTGTTACCTATATGAATAAATAATTTTGACTTTTGACTTTTGGTGGTCTGACACATAAATGGCACTACAAGTATGAAATTAATATGATTTTTAGTTACGTGTTACGTACTGTGTTACGTAGTATTTTGAGTGACGGAATTTTTGTTTGATTAAAAAAATGCATTAAAAGGAATTTCGTGTCGTAATAAAGCATTGCTATTTTTGCAAACAAGAATACTATTGAAGCCAAGGCTTGGCTTGATTAACATTATTATCTCTCGGACTCTGCACCAGGAAAATCAACAGTTGAGAAGTTGTTTGCTAAGTCTGAAATGAGCACCGAGGACGACACCGACAAAAAAAAACTCCACAAAATAATTTTGGATAACCAAAAAGTGAAGTTTTTGAAGTTAGCTCAGACCTTAAAGATATCTGTGTTGGATATATCCTAGATAAACATTTGTGTATGCGAAAGCTCTGTTGAGAGTGGGTGCCGCTCGAACTCGAATCAAATTGATGATTCTGGCTAGTGTTTAAAGCTGTTCAATTGTAAAAAAATCGTCGATATATGTATGAAACATGGCTTTCACAACGGAGTCCAAACAATCCATGTTTTGAGAACTAGTAGATAATAAATAAGTATAACAGGACGTAAAGTATATTTCAAATCGCTATAGTTATGATAAACGCAATTGAAATTAATAATAATAATAATCTTTATTCATTTTTCTCACAAAAACTTAGTACACAAACTAGTGACAGTTATATACTATTATAAATAAATAATTGTCTTACTTCTCTTTAGGGAAAATGTTAGATTAGTGTGAGACTGATGCCTGCTAAAGGTAAGAGTACCTGTGTTACAGGTCATCAGGCATCCACCACTTCGGATCGACAGAAGGTCTTATAAAGTAGAGAAAAATTTAGTGAAAATAAACAATCATTATTACGTAGGCTGTAACGTAAACAAAAAAAATATTTATAGGGATACACAAATTATATAGCTATTAATGTTATTGACGTCGTAAGATTCCGTTGGTCATAAATAATTATAGATATAAAAAAGAAAAAGGTTAAGGTAAGTTTATTTCTGCACGCATAAAAAAATATTGAGGATATTGTACTTACGTTGAATTGTTTATTGTCACTGATTATGTATACAGTAATGAGTATCAATAATAAAATAACTTTATTACGCAAAACATCAACGCCAAGGGATCAAGCCGCTCGGAAAGGGATTGGTCGTCGACGATTCGACACTGCTCTTCGTTGAATACGGTCAAGTGGAAGGAGCTGGTACTGGGGAGCTCCCGCCCAGAGGTGAAAACAGTAGTCTATGTGGGGCAGAATTTGAGTTTTATACGGTTGCAAGCAGTGGCCCATAGTGAAGTACCTTGTCTTGCTGCCAAGCTTTTTGTAGGCTAATTTAGCCTTTCCCTCGCGACGCGAAACTGAACGTCGTTCGATATGTCAACGCCAAGTATTCCGATGATGGCTCTGGCTTAAAGAAGAGTATCTTCGAAAAGAGGAGCAGCGACAAAGGCTGTTTTTTAGCGGCAACGCACAAAGTTGTGTCTTCTTGGGGTTAAATTGGACTGAATTTATTCTACCCCAGACCGAGACTCCACGTAGTACAGTTACGACTTCAGAGAGGAGTTTGTTCCGGTACTCATAGACAACTCCCCGAGAAATACCTGCCCGGCCAGTGTAAAGAGTATCCCCAGTACTATCGAATGCTATGAATGTTGCTAAGTTGCAACATATAATTCTCGTTGAGTCTCATAGGTGAATTGTTTCCTTTATGGCATAACTGAATAATAAATCAATATAAACCTTAGAAACAAGGTTTTTGTTGTTCACGTGAGTTATGACCTTTCTTTCTTTCTATTGCTAAACTTAAATAAAATGTTTAATAACCTCAGCTGCAGACAGATATACTATATATCAAATACTACTACTACTACACTATACATATATGTGTGCGTATTTACATAGTATTGTTTATTTGGAGTCTTGTGGAACTTTAATCGTAGATAAAAGAATAAATAGAAAAATATAATGGGCTACAGAGTTAGGCCAAGAAAGTGTCCAATTCCGGGGATTAGTGAATTATTTATCGGTTTTTGACAGATTAGTTGTTACAGTAACTTAGTCTGAAATTCTGTTTATAAAAGCTTCGTTTCACGTTTCAGAAAATCGTCAACGGAAATCTCATATACCTACCTCACTTCTTCGACGTTCCCTTCGTGAATGGATTGGTACAAGTATTTGTGCAAAAGACTTTTGCTCGTAAAGAATATTCGCAGCTTTGGAGGTTGGGAAAGTCTGCTTTAAAGTTCCAGAGAAGCACAAATGATCTGGGTGGGGCGCTGGTTATTACGCCCTGGATAAAAAACTTATTTCCAAACATCAGTGGCTATAATGATTTGACTAACGGAACAAAAGGCATATCCGACTTTTACGAAGTAAGAAACTTATTTATGTTTTTTCAATACAACCCTTTTCGAATGCTAACACATTACATTCTTTATTGTGCCTTTAGATCCTTTTATATGTTTACTAGTCTAGTAATTTATTGGACGTTTTTTAAATATTTTGTTAATTGGGGCCTATGTTAGGATAATATAGTATTCTAATTGTTAAAGAATGTATATGTCAACGTAAAATTGTAAAAACCGTGTTGTAATCTATCTCCGATATTTAAAATGTTGAAAAATTATGAACTCAACGTACTGCTTACAATTTAACGTATTATTATTCGGTAGATAGGTATAATCTATCGAAGTGAAATCGTCAAATTGTGAACGGTACGCACCTACAATACGTTAAATGGAAGCAGACGTTGAGTTCACAATCTTTCGACAGTTTATAATCTCGGAGCGAGATGGGGGGAAGAAATAAAACCCAACGGTATTTACAATTTTACGTTAACATATATACAGGGTGGCCAAAAAGTCGTGGATCAAAGCTGCAAAAAATTGTTCTACGGTACTACGGGAGGTCCTTGAGCTCAACGCCTGCAGAGTTATAATTTATTTTGCGTTTTTATAAGAAAATTGACTGTTTTTACTAATTCTTATTAAAATTCGAAAAAATCTACATCCTGTATATTTTTATAATATCCACTAGATTGGTCCTGATGAGACCTTGGGTAACGGGTAGGTAATTAGATTAATAACTATCATAAGTCCAAATCGTTGTTTTGTTTTTTGGTCCTAGAAAGAAATTCCATTTCAGAATCCCTATTAAATGCGCCAAAACTTGTGATACAGGGTCACTTTTCGGCAGAGATTTTTTTTCACAGTGGGGTCCGAAGTAAACAAAAAGTTATGATTTGAGATAATTTTATATCGTATAACTTAATATTATCGTCAATACACCCATTAAACAACCATAAATAGCATATCTAACGCAATCCACGATCCACGACTTTTTGGCCACACTGTATAAGTACTCTTTATAATAAAAGTATGTATAGAATTATAGATGTATCTTAGCAGGCTTCCTTTAGGCTTCTATGGCTTCGACTACGAATTAGTTTTTTTTATTTCCCTGAAAATGTAATCTAAAATCTTCAGCGCATTGAAGAAACGAATTGCTACGAAATCTTGATTCCAAAAATGTCAGTGAAAGAAAATGTTTCAACTCGTTTATAATATTATACCAAGTTTTAAGTCTTGTGTAAGCTGAATATATTTTATCAGTCATTTTATTAACCTGCACGATTTAAGATTGCAAAATCAGCGGACGTTGAGAGAACTACTTCAAAGTTGCATACAAAAAAGACACTATGGGAAGTTACAGAGATCGGCGCAGTTGTGTAGTGGATATTTTTTTTTTAAAGACAATTCACACCAATTGACCTAGTCCCATGGTAAGCTGGTGAAGCTTGTGTTATGGGTACTAGGCAACGGATATACATACATATTATAGATAGATAGACATATAAATACATATTTAAACACCCAAGACCTAAGCACAACACCAAATTTTATCGGCGTCGGGACGTGACGACCCCATCGCCCACTGGTGAAATAACCTGTGACAGAGGTTATTTCATCAGCACAATCAGTCAACCCCTTCCTAGTGGGAGTGCCATGCTGTTGCCTTCGGGCTTCAGCCAAATGGGCAGGCACGACCGGGGCAGTACCACTGTCTCTTAGAAAACCGGCGTGAAGTGATGCAATAGGTTCGCCTTATTGTACTCGCGTTTCGTACGGTGAGGGAGACTCCCGGAGCCCATCCCCCCCATATGAAATATGAAGGTGCAGAACAAACAGAATCTACCCCAGGGGGGTACCACACGCGCTCGCGGTGGAGAATCCCCCTCTGGGCGTCAAACACCGGGACACTCAGCACCCGGTGGTGGACGCACAGGCTGCCCTTCGTATTCTGGGGGGGGCAATTCTGCGCTCTACAAAAACAGTTATCGTATATCGTATATAATATATCTCGGGGGAAAACGGAGCAATTCAACAAAGGCACCCCCGTCCACGCTCGCCGTGGACTTCACAAATGTTAGGGGGCTCAATTCCAATATCAACGCAGTCCACTACCATTTAGAGACTGCGAAGCCGGCCTTGCTCTTTCTTACCGAGACTCAGATTTCCTCCCCGGCTGATACTTCCTACCTCTCCTACCCGGGGTACAAATTGGAACATTCATTTGTGCCGCGGGCGGGAGTTTGCGTGTACGTCAGAGAGGATATCTGTTCTCGTCGCCTCGGGACGCTTGAAGGAAGGGACCTATCTAACCTCTGGCTGCGCGTAGACTGCGATGACCGTCCGCGATTCTACGCATGCCTGTATAGGTCCCATAACGGAAATACCGAAACTGACCGACTCATTGAGCACATCCAAATGGCTACAGATTCCCTGCTCGAAAGGGTTCCTACCGCTGAAATCGTGATACTTGGCGATTTTAACGCCCACCATGCCGATTGGCTCGGCTCTGAAACCACCGATCACGCGGGAAGATCCTTTCACGACTTTGCTTTAGCCTACGACCTGACACAAATGGTCCCTGCGATTACGCGAATACCAGATGTGGATGGTCATAAACCCTCTTTGTTGGACCTTCTGCTGACTTCACATCCGGAGAACTATCAAGTCTCTGTTGACCCGCCATTGGGTTCATCGGATCATTGTGTGGTCCGGAGTACTGTGCCATCTACGCGCCCTTCACGGCCCCGCTTTATGGGTTGTCGCCGTATTTGGCACTATAAGTCAGCAGATTGGGACGGGATGCGGTCTTTCTTTGCGTCCTACCCTTGGGGGCCTATGTGCTTTTCGCCGGAAGCTCCAGATTCCGTCGCCGCCTCTGTCGCCGAAGTGGTTCTGCTGAGCATGGAACTCTTTATTCCATTTTCTGCGGTGCCGATCGGTGGCAAGTCTCAGCCCTGGTTTAAACGTTCTTGCAAGGCGGCCTCGCGTCGAAAGCGAGAATGCTTTAAGGCATGGGCGGAAGCGGCGAAATCTCGTGATGCCAATACCAGCGAACTTAAAACAGCATATAACTCAGCCTCCAGGTTCTTCAAACGGGAAATCACTAAGGCAAAGTCAGAGCACATTGCCAGATTTGGCGAGAGATTGGCCCAGCTCCCTTCAGGGACTCGAGCCTTCTGGTCTCTCGCCAAAGCTGTCCAAGGGAATTTTTGTCAGCCCGCCATTCCGCCACTGCACAGGGAGGATGACTCTCTGGCCCACACTGCGAAGGAGAAGGCCGACCTTTTGGGCTGTCTCTTCGCGTCCAACTCGACTTTGGATGACCAGGGAAGATCACCACCGACCATTTCGCGGTGTGATTATTCGATGCCGGAAATCACATTCCGGCAACGTGCTGTCCGCAAAGCACCTCCTTGGACATTCATAAGTCGAGCGGGCCGGATGGTATCCCCCCAATTGTGCTGCGTACTTGTGCTCCTGAGTTGGCTCCGGTCTTAACGCGCCTTTTCCGGTACCTGTACTCGCTCGGCACTGTCCCGAAGTGCTGGAAGACCGCTTTGATACATCCGATTCCTAAAAAAGGCGATCGCTCTGATCCGTCCAACTATCGCCCAATAGCTATAACCTCCTTGTTCTCCAAAATAATGGAAACCATTATTAATTGCCAGCTCTTGTGGTATCTAGAGGGCCACCAGTTGATAAGCGATTCTCAGTACAGCTTTCGTCGTGGTCGCTCAGCTGGTGACCTCCTTGTATACCTTACCCATAGGTGGGCAGAGGCAATTGAGTCCAAGGGGGAGGCGCTGGCGGTAAGTTTGGACATAGCGAAAGCCTTCGATCGGGTGTGGCAGAGAGCACTGCTCTCGAAGCTTCCAGCCTATGGGCTTCCCGAGAAATTATGCGATTGGATCTCCAGCTTTCTGGCCGATCGGAGCATCAAGGTCGTCATCGACAGAGCATGTTCCGACCTTAAACCTGTGAACGCTGGGGTCCCACAAGGCTGTGTTCTATCCCCGACCCTATTTCTTTTGCATATCAATGATATGTTGCAACTTAGCAACATTCATTGCTATGCGGATGACAGCACTGGGGATACTTTTTACACTGGCCGGGCAGGTATTTCTCGGGCAGTTGTTGATGAGTACCGGAACAAACTTGTGTCTGAAGGCGAAACTCTACTATGTGGAGTCTCAGACTGGGGCAGACAAAACCTAGTCCAATTTAACCCCAAGAAGACACAAGTTTGCGCGTTTTCCGCTAAAAAAACACCCTTTGTCGCTACTCCTCTTTTCGAAAACACTCTTCTTAAAGCCACAGCTAGCATTGGAATACTTGGCGTTGACATATCGAACGACGTTCAGTTTCGCGGTCACTTGGAGGGAAAGGCTAAATTAGCCTCCAAAAAGCTTGGTGTGCTCAGCAAGGCGAGGCGGTACTTCACTCCGGGCCACCGCATGCAACTATATAAAGCGCAAATTCGGCCCCACATGGAGTACTGCTCTCACCTCTGGGCGGGGGCTCCCCAGTACCAGCTCCTTCCACTTGACCGTATACAACGCAGAGCGGTTCGAATCGTCGACGACCAATCCCTCTCCGAGCGGCTTGATCCTTTGGCGTTGCGTAGAGATGTGGGGTCACTCTGCATCTTCTACCGCATTTACCATGGAGAGTGTTCAGAGGAGTTGTTCGGATTAATACCTGCAGCTGAGTTTCATCATCGGACGTCGAGACAGAATACGAAATTCCACCCGTATCACCTCGACGTCCGCCGTTCCACAACTGAGCGTTTTTCAAGGCAGTTTTTGCCGCGCACCACCACTATGTGGAATCAGCTGCCCACTGAAGTATTTCCGAACCAATTCGACTTAGGGTCCTTCAAGAAAAGAGCGTACCAATTCTTAAAAGGCCGGCAACGCTCTCGCGAGCCCTCTGGCATTGAGAGTGTCCATGGGCGGCGGTATCACTTAACATCAAGTGAGCCTCCTGCCCGTTTGCCCCCCGTTCTATAAAAAAAAAAAAACCAAATGCTCATCACATCGATGTTCGTCTCAGCCGGGGATCGAACCCGGGACCATGGATTCGCAGTCAGGGGTACTAACCACTAGACCAATGAGTCGTATTATACTTGCCTATTTCACTACTAATTAAAACTCTTTCGACTTTCATTCAAATAAAACCTACTGCCTTTTCAGGAGCTTATAAAAGACGCTATAGACACATATGAAGACACCCACGAACGCCACTTTTTTGATGCGTATATAAAGAAAATGAAACAGGAAACTGAGGAAAATCAGCGTACTACATACTCAGGTATTGAAGCAAGCTATTTAATTTCTTTGAAAACTTTCTTTTAAAACGCTTCGCTTTTAAATTTTGTTGGTCATTACTTTCGAGTTAATTTAACTTACTTTAAAATACCTTATTATAAGAAATAATATTACTTACCTTATAATCATAAAATCTAGTCAGTCAATAGGTTTGGAGGTTGTACTAATTTTGGTATTTGTTTAAACTTTTATCAACGCTGAATATCGGTAAAAAAAGTTGATAATATGTTGATTGGCACTATAATTAGATGCTAAATAAAATATATATGATAATGATATACATGTTAGATTCGGGACCTCACTCCTAAACAAGACTGCTATTACATTAATACAAACCACAGCGGTGTTCTAATGTAACATACTGTGTTTATATATTATTTTGTAAAATAAAGAAATTAAAAAAAAATCAATAAAACCTATAGGTAAACACGCAAATTAATCAATATTTTGTTTCTTATTATCATCAACACTGTTTTATAAAAAATGGGAAGTAAGGAAATAAATAAATAAATTTCCTTACTTCCCATTTATACAGTAATTTAATATAATAGAAAACTTATACATATAAAAATTAAACTAAAAGCATAATATAAACAAAACAAGAAAACATAAAACTTTTTATAACTAATTACAAATAATGCAATTCTTGTGTATTCAGCCAATGTGCAGATAAATATATCCGTCCCACACGCATTAATATTCAGGGTGCGCAAGTCTTGTAACTTGTGACTTCTTTGATTAAATTCTCGAGGCACTACAAGCAATTGCGACCGCTTACCACGCCGAGTGTGATTATTACACGCAGCCCCAGTCTCTTCATCATTTCCGCATACCTCTAACTTGTTGTATCCTACCATACCCAAGACAAACAAAGTTGATTACACTACTGGGTAAAATCATAAAATGGGTACCCTCCATACCTCTATTTTGTATACGCGTGGAGAGGTTTAAGGATATTTTTGTTCTTGTGGGGCCCAAATCATAGAGTGACAATTGAATAATTTAAACGTCCTGTTCTTTTAGCTGAGCAACTGCAATTAATTTGCACAGACTACACATTCCCTACTGCGAGTGCGACAGAAATGACGCTCACGATTCTGCTGGAGAGAATACTACTTCAACCGGAACTACAAGATAAGATTCACGAAGAACTAGACCGTGTGGTGGGGAGAGACCGAATGCCTACTTTGGATGATAGACAGAAGTTAGTAGAGTAAATTTAATCATTGAGAATGGACGAAAGACAAGTGAGGGCGTTTCATTTGTCAACGGAGAGTTGGATCGCGTCGCTTGGGGACGTGTACTATGAGACCGGGTGAATTCAAAGCTAGTATATTTAGCGAGAAATATCCTCGGAATAATAATATTAATGCGTTTTCATAAGTTTAGAAGTGAGACTCATTTCGTAGTGTGATTTTTTAAATTTTGCCTTGTGTGAAAAAGTACAATATTATTTTTGTATTTCTCTTTTAATAATTTGCCAAGTGTATCTTAAATATAGTTTAAATACTTAATTAATTATTTCAAATCATGCAAATCTTCAACGAGGTTATCCTTTATCCAATTAAATGTTTATAAAATGGCCTTGTTATGGCCTATTCAAATCAATAATATTTGTAATAGGACCTTTTTAAACATATGGAAGTCATAGCAGCCTCCTGACACACGCCGTCGAAAAAAAGTTCCAACAGAAAAGCTTTTTTGTCGAAATCCTGTGACCTCAGAGATCAGAGTCGCTAAATCCACAAACCCTGTCTCAATTAATAACTAAATTCCTTTTCAATAAATAATGTTAAATTTTTTATATTGTAATGCAAAGAAGTGTTAATAAATAAAATAAAAAAATAAATTCTGGAATAATCTGAGCAACGAGCAGGCTTATTTGAAATTTGGTAAAAGCACGAAGTTACTTTCGCTTTGAGAAGTATTCCTTTATTTATCTTTATCGAAAACGATGTGCTTCTAAAACATTTAAATAATTATTATTAGTTAATTATACCTTGATCTTATTATCAAGTGTTCCTATAATCCTTCAAAAGAGGACAAGTAATCATTTAATAGCTAATTGAATGATAAGCGTTTTTATCTAACACAATGATTGGCTGCTTGATGTGTCTGGCCTAGTTTATTAAAGGTCCTAAGCGCCGCCCTCATTCCCTCCGAAACAAATTTAAGAAATATAACGAATTTGTTCCGGTTTGAGAGCGAAGAATGCCATCAGGCTAAAAACCCCCCCCCCCCCCCCCCCCCCCCCCCCCCGCGGGGGGGGGGGGGGGGGGCCGGGGGGGGGGGGGGGGGGGCCCCCCCCCCCCCCGGGGGGGGGGGGGGGGGGGGGGGGGGGGGGGGGGGGGGGGCCCCCCCCCCCCCCCCCCGGGGGGGGGGGGGGGGGGGGGGGGGGGGGGGGGGGGGGGGGGGGGGGGGGGGGGGGGGGGGGGGGGGGGGGGGGGGGGGGGGGGCCCCCCCCCCCCCCCCGGGGGGGGGGGGGGGGGGGGGGGGGGGGGGGGGGGGGGGCCCCCCGCCCCCCCCCCCGGGGGGGGGGGGGGGGGGGGGGCCCCCCCCCCCCCCCCCCCCCCCCCCCCCCCCCCCCCCCGGGGGGGGGGGGGGGGCCCCCCCCCCCCCCCCCCCCGGGGGGGGGGGGGGGGGGGGGGGGGGGGGGGGGGGGGGGGGGGGGGGGGGGGGGGGGGGGGGGGGGGGGCCGGGGGGGGGGGGGGGGGGGGGGGCCCCGGGGGGGGGGGGGGGGGGGGGGGGGGGGGGGGGGGGGGGGCCCCCCCCCCCCCCCCCCCCCCGCCCCCCCCCGGGGGGGGGGGGGGGGGGGGGGGGGGCCCCCCCCCGCGGGGGGGGGGGGGGGGGGGGGGGCCGCCGGCGCCGCCGCGGGGGGCAAATGGAAAGAGGGGTTTTTGGTTGGTGCCATATGTATAGATAATTCCAATTTCATTTATGATATATCAGCCTTGGCATCTTCGTCTGCGTGGTATAACATTGGGCATATTATTTTTTTACGATACCTGTGTCGATTACTTCCATAAACCTTTATTAATTATATAAATCGGTATCTATTATGAGGTGAGCAGTGTTGGCCTAGTGGCTTCAGCGTGCGACTCTCATCCCTGAGGTCGTAGGTTCGATCCCCAGCCAACCAATGGAGTTTCTTTCTATGTACGCATTTAACATTCGCTCGAACGGTGAAGCAAAACATCGTTAGGAAAGCGACATGTCTTAGACCTAAAAAGTCGACGGTGTGTGTCAGGCACGGGAGGCTAATCACCTACTTGCCTATTAGATTTAAAAATGATCATGAACAAGATTCAGAAATCTGAGGTCCTGACCTAAAGCGGTTGTAGCGCCACTGATTATTTTATATATATTAGAGTGATAAACAGTTAAATTCGCGTGTATGCAGTTGCAGGTACAAACATTACAAAAACAAAACGTGGCAATTTCATGAATGAATAATTTCATTGCGAGTTTCTAGTCTTCCTTGGTTTGAAAAGTGACATTTGTAAATTTAGAAGCATGAATTCACTTAATTAAATATACTATATGAATAAATGATATTTGGACTTGATTAATATGACATAAAAACCTTTAAGTATCGGTTAAAATAAACTTTATAGTTATGACAAAACGTTTCAGTTTGCCGTTCACAGAGGCTTGCATTCGTGAGATGTTAAGATTCGAGACACTTGTGCCTTTGGGCGTGCCTCATCGCGCGATGAATGACACAACACTTGGAGGATACGATATTCCTGAGGTAAGATTATACAAGGGACCGCTTCTGACAAAGGAATTTAAACAAAACAAATTCATTTCCCTTTGTGACCCTGAACTCTGTTACTTCGGCGGTCCGGGTCAATGACCCGTGCGTTAATCGTGTTAAGATTAAGTAATAATGTATCTACATTTATAACGTTAGTTCTTGAATGTTGGAAACTATTTTGTCTCTTTTGAAAAGAGTCCGGTATAAACATCTGTTTAGAAAATATTTATTATTAAATCACTTCAAATCGGTTGATAGCATTACCTTTGTTTAAGGAAATGTTTCCTTGGACAAAACGTTCTATATTTTATTAAACGCATTTTTACACATACGAGCAAAAAAGTGTCTATTTAACTGTAGAATACTTTTTACGTAGATAACTTTTAAAAATAGTTTGTTTTAATGTTTGTAGATTGTTAGTGTATATCATATATTATTGTGAGTTGTTAAATATATATTTTTACTACGTCCAAAAATATGATAACAAGAAATGAAAACCGGCCAAGTGCGATTCAAGCCATACCAGGAAAAAAATGAAAGAACCTATTTATTTATGTACTTATTAATAATACATCCCAGCTATGTCAGCCAATATGTCCCACTATATATGTCACGTACTGCCGAGTTGAAATATCTGCGAACCTGGCTTAATGACGTCATACAAACTGGAGAGATAGCAAAAAAATTGAAGATGTAAAAATAAAAAATATTTTATTTGTGTACTTATTTTTATTGATACTCGTACCTACTTGAAATTTACAAATACTTATTATTTACATTATTTAAAATTCAAATTATTTACAAATTTACAAATAAACAGAAAAAGTAGAGAGGAAGAGAAAGTGGCGAAACTATTCTAGAAAAGCCTCGACACCAGACATGTGCCTGTCGTTCGCATCTTCTATATTATCACTCAATAAACACTAAAATGCGATTACGAAAGCAAGAATAAACACGTGCTCGGCATTGCGTTGGCAACGGTACTGGATAGGCGAAAACGGGGCGGGGTGCGGGGAAGCGCAGGGGAAGCGCATTCCAGGAGGTTGCAGATATTTCCGACGGCTTGTACTTAGCAGGCACGTACGTAACGTAACGTAGACGTACAAACGTCAACGATTTACCAATCACGCGATCGACAAGTCACTCCCCCCCCCTTCTCCACTGATACCAAAAAATCGCTTCTGCGCAGGCAAAGACATTTGTTCAAGATGTTTGCCGGTATCTGAGGAGGCTGGCTGTTTCGCCAAAACAATTGCTTTGGCTTAGATTGGAAGAATATTCTTGTGTGTCTTAAAAAAAAATTAAAAAGAATCAGCTCTTGGAAATAAGAATTAAAAGGAGATAATATGCAGGGTTCCTCGGTGGCAGTTAATCTAGTTGCTCTCCACATGGATGAGAAGATCTGGGGTGATCCGCAGAACTTCAGGCCTGAGCGGTTCATTGTTGATGGAAAGGTTCAAGTTAGCCTGGACAAGTCCCTGCCTTTTGGAGCTGGTAATTTATTATTTATTTAGCATATTATTAGAGGTACTTCTTTATATCAAGAATGTTTCAGATAAGACTTGATTGTAGATTAAGATTGAACAACAACGGCACGCATTTCGTTATATTTTTGTATACATTGGAATATTGCATATACCTTCGCGGCAATAGATATAGTAAATGTGGCAACACATACTCAAATTAATCATAGTACTTATACTAAAAGGCCGGCAACGTACTTGCGAGCCTTCTGGCTATGTGATTGTCCATGGGTATTACTTAACATCAGGTGAGCTATTGAAGGTGAGTAAAAAAAACGCACTAAATAGATATCTGTCGAATTATATCCATTTTTAAGTCCTAACATATTTCTTAGATTGTTTCGCGTAAATGAGAACAATAGGTATTGTTAGCGGTACGAGATATGCACGGTTCCTGAATCCTGGATCATCTCGGTGCTTTAAATAAGAGAAGATTTTTGTTTTACTCTATATTAATCACTCGCGAATAACAATAGAATATGAGCGAAATAATGAAATGTTAATAGCTATGAAATGAATAAATGCAATGTAACAGTTGAAGAGAGTGCCTGCGTCTGTCTATACTCTCGGGGCGTAACTCCGACGATTTTGGAAATCGTAACGTTATAAGTGATCAAAATGTACAGCCTTGGCTCGTACAAGATAAATACATACAATACATTATTCATTCTATCAAACATAGCTATATATAGAATAAACAGGTTAAGCCCGCGTGACCCACATTGCAGCGATTCCTTTGTTTACTAGAATGACGTAATCTATTACTCATAACTGAAGCCATTGATAACCCCGAGTCCAAGTAAACATTTAATAATAATTAGCTCGGCAGCAGTGTTGGCCTAGTGGCTTCAGCGTGCGACTCTCATCCCTGGGGTCGTAGGTTCCATCCCCGGCTGTGCACCAATGTACTTTCTTTGTATGTGCGCATTTAAAATTCGCTCGAACGGTGAAGGAAAACATCGTGAGGAAACCGGCTTGCTTTAGATCCAAAAAGTCAACGGCGTTAGTCAGGCACAGGAAGCTGATCACCTACTTAATACATTAAAAATTATCATGAAATAGATACAGGAATCAGAGGCCCAGACCTAAAAAGGGCTACCGGGCTGGAGTTGACGGTTATCTCGCACAGCAGATTTATAACCTTTATTAAGTCAATGTTAGACATTAACATTTATGCAATCAATTCAAGGGCAGGATATTATACCCCGCTGTGTTTATTGCGACAACTATAATATAGGAACACTAAAAAAACTAGCTGTGTCTGGTATTATTCGGTATTTCTAGTTCTGTAGCCAAATAAAAAAGTGCTACCCAAGACCTATGCTATTTCATTTCATTAATCAAATATTAACACTATTAACGTAATGTGTTTGATGAAAACAAAACAAAACACTGCGCAAGATCCGCGACTTCCTTCTAAGCGGAGCGTTGTAAATTGACGTCACATGTGATCACGTGACCGTTAGCGGGACTTTTATCGTATGTTTAAATGCCAGTGAAACAAAACTAATAAACACCAATATAAATAAACAAAGAGAAGATACAAAAACTCTTTCCTCATTAAGACCTCATAAAAACCAACTGATTCAACCTACATTCAGACTAAAATTACATCAATCAGGACCATTGATATCCTCAATAAAAATATATAACAAATTACCAGAAAATTTGAAGAATGAAACAAATAACTTGAGGTTTACCAAATTTCGAAAGGAATTATTATACTAGAAATGTTATTACACTGTTACTGTAGACTTTAATTTCTTTATAAAAGTTACGTTTATACAAATGTTAAGTACATTCTCCTTTTCGCAACATGAAGCGAAAGCAAATATACCAAATAAATAATGTATCTTATAAGAATAAAAATGTATAAGAATAAAATTAATTATAATAAAGCATGCCCTCTCAACATTGCTGTGCCTAACCAAGGTCCTTATTGTAATAAATTATAACGTTTCTCGTGTAAAAAATAATAGGTATTTTTGACTACAACAAAAACTAGTCTAATTGTATACATACGAGGGCAGCACTGAAAATTTCGGGAATCAAGGAAGTGACACAACATTACTATTTAAAAATGTATTTATTGCTTTTCGAAGTATTCTCCGCGAAATTTGACACATTTTTCATACGATGGAACCAATCATTGAAGCAACCATTCCATTCGGAAGTTAGGGTCTCCAAAATGGCCGTTTTGTAGGCGTTCACAGCTTCTTCAGGTGATGAAAATCTCTGACCACGCAATTTATTTTTTATTTTAGGGAAAGTATAGAAATCATTAGGGCTTAGGTCGGGGCTGTACGGCGGATGGTCTAATAATTCTATGTTTTCTTGCTCTAAAAACTCTTTTGTTCTGTGCGCGGTGTGAGAACTCGCATTGTCGTGATGGAGGACGATGCGGCGCTTGCAGTTCTCTTTACGGAGTTCAGAAACGAGCTGTGGCAAACAAATGCTAGCATACCGTTCTTTGTCCCTCAAGAGGAATAGTCGGAACATGGCCGGTTTTGGAGACAAACGTGGCCACCATTTTTTTTGCTCCGTGAACGAACAATTTTCGTTGGCTTTAACTCATTTTCGAACCCCCAAACTCGTGACTGGTTTTTTGTTTTGGGTTCGTACGCGTATATCCAGGTTTCGTCACCTGATACGATGTTGTATACAGCATTTGAGGATCCTGCGTGGAATCTTTCGAGAGTTCTGACGCACCAAGTAACGCAAACCGCTTTTTGCAAATATGACAGGAACAGTGGTATTATTCCATTCCCGATACTTTTAGTGTAGCCTATGTACAAGCTTTAGTGTAACTTTCAACAGATATGGCATACCTATTAACAATCTTAATTGAGGAGAGTGTATTTATATCTTCATTTAAATATAGGAGCATTGACCCATTCATGTTTATTTTATCTAAATTTATATTTTTGGGTCGATTAATTAGATAAAGATTCCGAAACAATAATCTAAAAGGAAACAATAAAATTTCCATTAAATTCAAACAAAATTTAACACCACTTGGATGATTCAGAGTCGAGAAGTATAACTTGAAAGTTGAAAATTCTTAACGTTTTTTTATGTAATTTGATAACATTTGGGATTCATCGTGCGCGTCTCAAATCTAAATTTATTATTAGATTTGGGACTGGTACAAAATTCCACAAGTGTCAATCGTAAACTGCCTTAAAAATGTTCTATATAAAACCTCTTCAGATGTCTCTCATACATATCAATTACAGGACGCAGACTTTGTGCTGGAGAGACCTACGCTCGTCACAGCATGTTTCTGATATTCGCGGCCTTTATGCAGGCCTTCCAGGTGTCCACAGCTGATGGCAAGCCTTTAACCCAACCCGCGAAGAGGATACAGGGTATTATAACCACGATTCCAGAGTTCTGGGTTCGGGTTACGCCAAGAATAGGTTAAACGGCAATTTGCAAATGTAAGCTTCTATCATGAGTTTGTTGAAGTAATACATTGTAAGCTCTTTATAACGAAGTTCAAGGGACCGAGCAAGTTTTTTCGTTATAAAGATTTTTCGTTTAAAGATTTTTCGTTATACAGAGGGAAGGGAAAAACAAACCAAATTTAACCAATCACGTTAACACATAACGCTTATCTTTTTCTGGCCATCTTGACAGTTTCAAAGTTTGTTTACGACTGATAATGCACGATAGTTGACAATGGTGCGTTTAGTAACTGAGATCAATATTTCATACAGGCAATGTAATCTAAGAATAATGGCACAGGTGTTAATGCAATTAACAAGAACAAAGGCAAGACGCCTGTTTATGACCTCAGGTGTCTTTCTTAGAAATTTCGGTACCTCAAAAGCTTAGTTTTGTAAGCTGATTATAAAAACAATTACACTTAAGTATGTTGTTGATGTCTAAATATGAATATATTTTTCGTTATAAAGAATGTATTAGAGAATAGAGGGTTTTGTGTTAAACCAAACAAAATTACCGAATTTTTACGTTATAGCAAATGACATTATAAAGAGTATACACTGTATTTAAAAAAATGCGTTTAAATGTTTTATGTAAAATAATAATTGTAAGGAGCGCTTATGACCGTGTTTCGGAGGAGCATACATACGTATTTTACGATAGCGTGTAAAAATAATTTACTATCGTATACAACATAAATAAAATACGGTTTATTGTTTATACGGGACTTTGTCATTAATAACTTAATTTAAAAAAACATAAATCTATCGATAAGTAATAAATTTTAATAGGAAGCCTTGATATTTAATATTAATTATAATATTTTAAACATGTTTAATTGTGTCATTCATTTTCGATCCCTAGACTATGACGATTGATTATATTTATCATGACAATAATGCCTTTATAGCATAAAGTTTAATGCCCCATGATTGATGATGTAAGGATGCATAAGGGGCGGAAAATACCTTTTATGACTTCCGTTTAGATCTATAAAAACGTTATTTATAAGGTGAAAATGGTGTAATTTGGGTAGCCAAACACCACCTTAGCCCCTAAAATGGGTTTTTGGGGAGGGGAAAGAGGGAGAGAGGCCGAGAGAAAAATCGAGGCGTAAAAAACTCTCGGTACTCTTAACAAATAGCAAATCAGCTTTAAATATTCCTGAATTTAGTCAACCTACTAGAATTCTTATTGTATTCTTTAAGTATCTGTTTTTTATAAGCTGTAAGAGCATTAACATAATTATAAAGCTGTCGCTGTCGAAGTGTTAATTGTGATTTACTGTAATTAAACGTTTTATTATTGTGTAGTAAAATATATCCTTTAAACATAACCATTCATTAAAACGTGCGAGTTTACGTAATTGTTTTTATAGCGGTTCAAAGGTCAGTTCTATGTCTAGTCCAAGCGACATTTAAGTTATTATTTCTACGTAATTTTCATTGAGCATTCTGAGGTAAGTATAGATAATGAACCAAATTATCCGAATAGGGGGGGGGGGGGGGGGGGGGGGGGGGGGGGGGGGCCGCCCTGGTTTATAAGCCATGTGCGTATAACTACACGAAGAAAACTGATTAGCATCAGCGTCATAACGTAACTCCGAATAGCGCTGGACACTTCGATCTTAATTAAAAAATTAATTTATTGCATCATATAGGCTAATTACTAGGAAAGTATTTAGTTTCACTTTTCTAAACTCGAGAACGGTTTCACCGATTTTGATGATTTTCGTCTTCGATTCGACTTGATTCGTCTTCTTCACTCCGAATAGCATCTGGAAGGTTCAAGTAAAAAACCCTGAATCGACAGGTGCTTGGACGCGACGGAGGTCTTACAGATCTATTTATTTGTTTTCTAAATACCCTTCTGGCAGACAAGAATAAATTATAATTAATTTATAGAGATCAAGTATTTTAATACTACGTTCAACTTTAATAGATTTTTATTAACCTTGATTGAATTTAAACGCTAACTATGCGTAAAATTGATATAATACCAAGTTAAGTACATTGCGACAAACAACAGGTTATAAACGACAATTTACTGTAATTAAAGGTGACATCGGTCGTTACTTGTCTCTTGCAAAACAAGAAAAGTATCTTTGTTGTAGTAAACGTGTAAAAAATATTAATAATCTATTACTGAGATAATTCAATTATAATAATATGTATTAAGTGTTCATATATACCTTCAGTATTAAGTGCTCACTGGTTCGCTACGCTAGCGGGCGGAGTAAGGTTGTCAGTTTCAAAATTTTATAAGAGAGGATTTTTTTGAAGTGAAAGAACGTCACGAAGATGTGCAGCGTTTTTGTCAACGTGCATGCATAAAATTGTACAAGAAAATATAACATTACAAATTTTACATTCATACACAACAATTGTATTAGAAATATCAGCAAGCTAGCAACGGAAAAAAATAAACAAGCAACCACAAAAAAAATTGTAAAAAAACTATATACGAGAAATACAATTAATGCATCATATGATGAGAGCTTTATTAATCAGGTTGCTTTTTCTATTGGAATGGAGAATCACTAGTGTTAGTAGTATCCCACTAATAGATATTATAAACACGCATGTTTGTAAATACGTGAAAACTAAGGATTTTAATGAAACTTTTCAATAATATAGCTCATACATCAGAATACATAGGCTACAATTTATTAAGATATTGTGTGAATTGTCCAAAATATCAAGTAAGTAGGAAAAAATCTACCATCTCCGTGTAACTCTGGCGTGCGCTGCCAAAACCGCTAAAATTACACGTATGATGGAAATGTTTATCTTAAATAGTCAATCTCTTTAGAAGTTTTTTTCTACGCCACGCTTATAAGCTACTCGAAATACTAATCCTGCGCTGACGAAGTCGCGGGCACCAGCTAGTACATTATAAAATAGCAAAACATTTAATTAAAGTTATACATATTGCGAATTGAGATTCATATGCTTATAATAATTAATTTTCTACACTTTAAAATTATAATATTATTTTTGGCATATAGTTTAAGCTGTTTTTTCACATGTTTATTTAACTTAATGACGCTTACAAGCGATTTTGCTGTATTAACAAATTTATTGAATTGTAAGAACTTAATCAAGACTTAAAATAATTATAATATTTTTTTTATTATTGTATACATATTTTTTTTAAATTAGAATATTTATGTTATCTTTAAAATATTCAATTATTTTATAAGCCTTAATGATAAGATATTGATAACGTTATCTTCGAAGTCCTTTGCATCGTGATTTCATGTTTCCGTAACATAATAATGATATATTATATTCTATAGAATCTTGTAAACCACTGTTTGAGCCCTTTGAGGAGATAAATCAATATTGTTTAATTCACCGGGAATCGGATCCAGGACATATTATACAAAAGCTTAGTCAACTGCACCATTGAGGAAACTATGTTCATTTGTTTGTATTATTAATCCTGCAATTATGAACTTTGAAGTTGCAACTCTTGGTCTAATTTTAAACAATTTTATTTAAAAAAATACCTACTCGGCTCACGTTGTTTTGCTATATAAAGATTATTTAATACTAATATCACTATTAAAAAGGGGGTTGGTAGTGGGGGGGAGGGTTATGATATATTTTGATATATGTAAATACAAATAAAAAAATAAAAAACACTTTTTAAAAAATACTTTGTATAAAAAATATCTATACATATTTATTTTCAAACCCTTCAAAATATATACCCAAAGAATGTCATTGAAATCGGTCATTCACATTTGAAATACTAAACCTATTTGGAAGTTATATTAAACTTATATTTTTTTACAATACTTCATCAGTATAATACAGTGCATCAAGGGCATCAAGGGCATCAAGGCAACCTGCCTGGTAGGGAAAGCTGCCCCCTCTAGGGAGTCAAAAAACTTTTATTTATAAGTAATCTTACAGCTGACACATATCCATATCAAATAAACCACATATACAAAGCCATGTAGATGATAAACAAAATATATCGATGGCCCCAACGAATAAACGTGCAATCGAAAAACAACAACTTTTCAGGAAACAACAAAATAGTTTGGAATCACTTTACTTTAATTACATAATAAATAGATATATATCAAAAAAATATCTTTTAGCTCATATATTTTTTATAAAAAAAATATGAACAGTTTTCTCAATATTCAAGAAAAAACATGTTATTTTATTATTGTAGTGAATAATATGTGACTTATTAACAGTATTGTATCACTGCACGTTTATTCGTGTCATAAATGAAGCATAATCAAGTATAGTGAAATGTTACACGGTTATTCTACGTCAATATTTTTTTTTCTGAGCCGTGCTCTGGCCGTCTACAGGCTTATTCTTGTATATTTTGTTACTTTTTCATGTTTGTAAAGATAGAGGCCCGTTTATTAACGTAATCAAGATCAATTCATTATTTATGTAATACATCTTTATAAGTGCATGGTATAATAATGTAAATTAGCTTATGATTTTTGATAAAGGTTAAATAAAAAATAATGTTAATAAGAATAATTATTTTTTATTTATCCAATTAAGAACAAATTAAGTACCTATCAGGTATATTATTTAAAAAAAAACAAGAAAAATTAAACAGAGAACAAGAAATAAGTAAGTACTAATAAATCTCCTCGTCACTATCGTTGGTAACCGAGGTGGATCCTAATGGCACCAAATTTCTGTAAAAACACTGGTATTGGTTTGGTATGGCTCCTGAGTCGCAGTCTTATTAAATCCCCATATAAAGGGAGTGGTATAAATAGAATTCCAGTGTATGCGAGTTTTAGGTTTTCAGCATTTTCTATAGGTTCTCCTCGTCGCCTTCTTGAATTAGTCCTCGTGGTAGTTTGCATCTCTTGTAATTCGTCTTCAAAACTGTATCTAAAGTATATTGTATCAGGATGATTATAATAAAAAACTACTTCTTTTATTTGCTCCAATAAATTCTATCCCCATTTTTATCTTTCAACCAATTCTT